GAGGGGGGAGGAGTGGGGAAGGGAGAGGAGTGAGAAGGAGGTAAGAATGGGGGAGGCAGAGAATGGGGGAAGAGAGAAGTGAGGGTGAGAAGGGAGAGGACAGAAGGAGAGATGGGAGCAGGGAGAAAAGGAAGGCAACGGAGGGACAGGAGGGGAAGAAGAGGCCAGAGGTAGCCAGTGAGACAGAAGACGGCTTCCTGGTAGGCTGAGACAGGGACACGAAGCCTGCGCGGGAAAGGAGAGGCCAACGTGACGGAGACGCTTGCCTGTCTCTCAGGGTGCTGCTGGGAAGGGTCAAAAGACCCCAGCTTTCTCCCTCCTTCACAGTTCTGTAAGATCATGGGCGCCAGACACCGCCGTGCGAAATGACGGGCCGGTGACCTCCCTCCCCGGGAGCACCCAGCCGAGCGAGCCGTGCTGACCCCATGCGGCGCTCAGAACTCCTGGGACTTGGCCCCATTCCTTGCTCTCGGAGACAGGCCGCATCCCGCTGCAGCTCAGGCCTGCCTTGGGGACTTGGCTTCCTACTTATTCCACCCCGTGGCCCCCACTCCCCCAGGCCGGCCCCCTTTCCCTTGGCTTGGGGCTTGGGGGTGTGGCCCGCCTCCCTGAGGTCCATTTCTGTGCTCTGGTCGGACATTTGGGTTAAAATAGCAAGACGTGGTGCCCCTTAGTGCTTCCAAGGTCACTTGCTTTAGGCCCGCCCTCTGCGATCCTGATGCCAACTTCCCCAAGCAGGACCAGGAAAGAAAACAGCACAGGTTGCCCGGGCGCTTCCCGCCAGCCTGAAAGGGCCAGGGCGCCTGGGGTGGGCTCACCTGGCTGAGATTGAGTGGCTGCTGCTGCTGGAAGTGGGGGCCTGACCGCTGCTGCCGGTAGGCAATGGCTCCCGACGAGCTCCCTGAAGAGTGACCGCTGGTGGAGGTCACGTTGCTGGAGGACTTGGACTTGTAGGAGGACGAGTGGTGGCCGCTGTTGACTATGGCGGGAGGAGGAACAGGCCACAGGTCAGTCACTGGTCCTTCCTGCCCAGATGTTACCCCCTCACCCCCAGGGGACAATAGCAGGCGCCTCGCAGAGACTGGCCTCCCTCCCCTGACCCTGTTAGGATGCTGCCTCAACTCTGGACAGGCACCAGGCCCTGGCTTGTGCCACAGGTTGGGAGCAAACCGCTGGACTAGAGGATCGCTACCTGGAGACGCTGAGCAGCACAGCAGTCTGCCGCTCCGCAGCTCACTCTCTGGGGTCCCTCAGGGTAGACGGGGCCACCCACCAAGACACCAGCGCACAGAGAAAGCACAGCAGGTTACATTTAACTGGTCCCAAAAGGCCCCACATATGCTGGGGGGAGCAAAATGGACAAGTGAAATGCCCTGGCTAGGGCCCAGCTGACGTGAAATGAACCGTGAGGAAAGAGTGATGGGTGACCACCAGCTCCCAGCAGGGCGGGACCAGCGTCCCTGTGGGCAATGCTGGGCCACCGTGGAGACGGCCCTGAGTCCCAGGCACCCAGGTGGTTTTTCCTTTTACTTCAGACAGGATGGAGGCACCATTGGCTGATGGTGAGCACAATGGGCTGATGATGGAGCTGGATGATGGGAGAGGAAAGGGGGTTCACGAGGGCCCCGACTGTCCTCTCCCTGCTCATCTTTGAGGTTTCTGGAGACAGAAGGGCCTTGTTATGCCGGGCACGGCCAGCCCTTAGTTCCTTCATCTGTCTCAACCAGGAGGTGGTGTCTCACCACAACTTTGGCACTTTCCACAGAAAGGCCAACAAAGCCAGGAGCCGGAAGGTCCCCAACCTGTGGAAATCAGCCCCCTCATGCTCCTTCACGCTGTTTCAAAAAGTCAAGAGAAGTAACACCAGTCACATTTGTTTACTTTGTCAATTCCTGGACGACCCATAAGGGGACATCTTGTGTCAATACGCAAGTAGCCTCACTGGGTATTTTTAAGGAGTCACCAGTGTCCCAGGGTACAGGGCAAGAGGTCCAGGAGCACTGGGGTCCTTGCTGACAAGACTCGCTGTGTAAGCGACCTATGAGGCCCACAGCCCCGGGGCTGAGATCTCTGGGGTCAGAACATTTTTGAAATTCAGAAATTTAGATTTTAGCAAGGTAATCTGCATAGTTGATAGAGTACCCCACCCTCGAGTCCCACTGTGTCTAATCAAAGACATGAGTATTTTTGCTGCAAAAGGGAGCGATATTTCACTCAGTTCTGGGGTCGGGGGGCGGAGGGGGGGAAGGCAGGAGTCTTTCTAACCAAGCAGCGTGTGAGGGAGAAACACTCTCGGATACAACCTCTCCTCTCAACGGAGGCCGAGCCTTCACCTCACCTACCGAGACTCTAGACCGTCCCCACACAGCAGGGAGCCCCACCACCTGGAAGGGAGAGAGAGGGTCCCCAGCTGCCCGGCCTGATTACCTGGCACCAGGCTGTCACACTCCACCAACACCTCGCTGGCTTGGGTTTTCAAGGGCGGCACGATGATGGTCCGGGGGTTCCCGGTGCAGTGGCTCTCCAGGCTGGCCTTGGTGTCGAAGGTGCTGGCGCTATGCCCGGCACGGTGCTGCACGGAGTAGGGGCTGGTGTTGCTGGAGGAGTCGGAGTAGGGAGAGTCGTGGACTGTGACACAGCTGATGACGTTTTTTCTCTGCTTGGAGACAGTGCTGGAAACCAAAGGGAGCAATCAGAACCTGGCAGAGAGCAGGGTCCAGGACGTGTGCAGTGGAAGCTCATCCATGCCCTGGGGCGGCAGGAGGTGGCACGGGAGACCGGGCGTGGGAAGGTCACCTGTCCACTCGGGAGAAAGGGGCCGGTGCTGGGCCCACAGGCTGCTTCTGGAAATTGGGGTGTGAGAAGCTTCTCCAGGGCCAGCAGAGCTCAGCACCCCAGGGCAGATACCTGTGGCTGGCCACGCCCTCTGGGCCGCCGGAAGAGGACAGCTGAACAGAGAGGACCCTGCAAGACCCAACATGCTGAGGCAGGAGGGGATGTGCAACCAGGAGAAACCAGGGTACAGCGAGGACAGAAGAAAAGTGAGGTTCGAGGGGGATGAAGCCCCACGACATGGTTCAGACAAGCTAAGAGAGTCGGAGCGGGGTCTGACACTGCTGTCTCCGCTCTGAGCGGGTCGCTGGCTGTCGGTTCAGCCCACTCGGGGCCTGTGGGTCCCCTTCTGGGGGGACACAGCCCTCCTGCAGCTTTCACTGCAGGGCTGAGGATCAGGGAGGGGACAGCAATCGCCCTCGTTCAGAGGACCTCCCAGCGGGATGGCGTCCAGGAGGGAGTCGCTCACCAGGTCTTCATCCTGAGGCCGAAACGTACCAGGGCGACAGGGCGGGCTCCCGCCAGGACATTTTTGCCTGAGCTATTTGTGTCTGTGTGGTTACTTCGGGAACCGACTCTGTCCATCACCCAACTCAGGGAGAGCCTGAGGCTGATGGATATGGAATTTGTTGCTTATTGTGATGGTTTTAAAAATGATTTTCATATACTGATCACCTATTTTTAGGAGCTATCGACTGCCTAAATAAGATGGTT